TTCATTTCGCTCTACCTGCTCATCCCTACCAGTGCTACGAGAGGCTGATTTACGATTCTAAGGGTTTCTCTTTGAGATGACAGCAGAAAGTCTACCAAATGGGATTTTCAAGTACTGTCTCACCTCACATTCATGCGTTCTGGCATACAAACAAAACTGCCAATTTTAGTGGGTATTAAACCACAGCTTTGCCCTCGCTTTACCCTCTATATCATCAGCAGGTGTTGCAGGATGGCGGGGGTAACTAGGAAATAGCAGGATAAGATGTACAGACCATCTATAATGATGCAGCATTGAAGTTTAATGGGGCTGAAAACACTAGCTGACTTGCTGGTTGGAAGGCCAAACACAGTAAAGGAGCAGCACAGTTGGTCTGAAGCTGTTTCCAAAGCATGACAGATGTTACAAAAAAGGCAGAGCGACAAAGAAACAGAGCCATAAAGGGGACAGAGGGAGAAAGAGTGACTAATTTGCAACCTGCAGAGTGAGAGATCACCGTGAGATAACTTTGTGCAAACAGCAACTTTAATCAAAGTCAAGAAAACTTTTAAAAAACATTTAAAAGTCTACAGTGCCTTGAGGTTTTGTCCCACACTAAGAGTGAAATACACAGCAATGAATACAAAACTTAAAGGAACCAGGGGCAGGAATTGTTCAGTGATGGCCTCTTAAACATAAATGTCTGGTTATACTCTAGCAGCAGAGTGTTGCAGTGAGCTTGTCCCAAGTATGATGTAGATATTTTTGATTTATGCCCAATTTTGAAGCCTGGTGTGCGCTGTTATTCCACGCCACAACGCAAGAGGGACAATCATGAACTAGCTGTGGGTCTACATACGGCTGAGAAAGTGGAAAAACTCAAGGGCCGTTTGTGCAGGATATGAGGGCAGAAAAGAGCGAGAATCCAGGTGGAAAAAGGGTCCCAGAGTTCTCGCGCACCTCGCTCTTCTAGCTCGTCCATCTTGACAAGTCTTTTTCCAAAATGGCTGTCATACAAACAAAACAAGCCGGTAAGGTACCAAATAGGTAATACGCATAGTGTAGAGCGGATGTAGATTTGACCAATCAGAGGCCTCCTGTCTGCGGCACTGTCTGTGGTCACCTACAATTTTGGAGAGGTGCACCAGAGTCTCTGCGGAAGGGGCGGGGGCATATCTGCGTTAACTGTGACACACGCAGATGACCTGGTTTCTCACCATAAACCCTATTAAGCCCTATTAGCTGTTTTTTGTAATGGTTATTCACATTTTCAAGAATCTCCATATTCTTCAAATTTATAGAGTAGCATAAAAGTTCTCTTTGTTTAAATCAAAATGTACACTCTGAATTTGGAATAAGATTTCAAATATCCAGTTGATCCGACCGTTAAAAGCAAGCCAAAGGTTTTTATTTGGTAATTCTGTAAAAAATTGAAACAGTCGATCTGTAAATAAATATCATTTTTCTTTCAATAAGTATTTCTAAAACTCTCTTATATCTACTCATGCTTCTTTGTTACAGTGTACTTCTGAGGCTGGTCCTCTTGCAGCAGCCTCTGGTACGCCTGCATTTAGGTTGTATTAATTTCCTTCAGATCAATTGAAAAATACTTTACTGACTATGAAAAGAAACATAAATAACAATTTAGTATCAACCGCTTGTTTTAACAGTAATATGGAGTAATTATCTAAACAAGTATAATATGAACTGTTTATAACAAAGAGGCCTTGAGAAACAAAATGTTGACAAGGATGTACCACTAAGGCTTGCATGGTAATGGAGCTGGTAGCACTGTGGCCTTACATCACCAAGGACCTGTTTTTAAATCCTGATCTTGACTCTTCATTAGGTGTGCAACTGTGGGTTCTGGGTAAGTGTAGTTGGTCCATTAAATTGCCTTTGTGTGTTTGGATTTGGGCGTGTATTAATTACATGGTAGGGACCATTTTCCATCAATCTTAGCACATCATGGGGACTGAGTGCTCTAGTGGGGATCAATCTCTGGTCCCCATGGTTACAAATGCTGTATTAAATTTAGGTGTTAGGTTTAGGACTAAGGTGTGAATTGAGTTTAGGTTAGGATTAGGGTTAGGTATGAACTCGTAATGGTTAACGTAAGGGTCACTTTTCTGCCCCTGTCACATTTGGACGATTTAAACAGTGGTACGCCTGATGTACGGAAAATATGGCAAAAATGCTGACATACATTGGATAAGTTATGCGTATGTTTTTTATAAGTTAAGAGCTGAAGTACGCTGAAGCTCACAGGCACAGTCGACATAAGTTCTGACCTATGCCAACGTATGCTCATACGTGGGCCATAAGTTACAGGTAAGTTATCTGATTGTTGACATACGTTAAGTATAAGTTACTCATAAGTTGTGGTGTATAGCTTATCCAACTTGTACATAACTTATGCGGAACTTATCAAGAACTTATCTCCAACGCATATCGACGTATTTGACAGGTTCTAGTCAACGGCTAAATGTTTTTCTAACTTACAGCTACTGTATAGTGGCGTATTGACTGAATACCAGTAGAGGGTGTGCTCTCCCTCTCCCAATGGCTGTTGGAGATAGGCACCCGGATGGATGTGCCACAAACGATATTGGAAAGTTATACATTAAAACATGCTGGATTTTATATGGTCATTCCTTTTGCTTATAGTTGACATTGTTGGAGTTGTTTTTATTTACTTATTACTTTTTGTTGGACAGAATCCACCACCCTATGATCTGTTAATAAATAGAATTAAAGGTACAATCCATCTGACTATATTTGGAATTCCAGCTAAAATTATCTGATAAATTATATATAGCCTTAATTGGTTTACTATCCTAACCTTTATATGAGGAGGGTTTGTATAAAAACAACACAAAAGATTTTTTCACTCATTCCTTTTTAAGTGAAGCCATGAGTAAAGTTTCTGTTATAGTTCAAAATGGCCCCATGGTTGACATTTAACCTTGTGACTGCTCCAGAAACATTTTATAAGGTCCTGGTGTAAAAGTATCAAAACCTGCTTCTCTTTAATCATAAAAGATGAACCAAGAATGATTTCAGTGACGTAACTCTTTCATAAAGATGGTTCTAGGACCAGTGACATATTCCATGACTACTTTGATGTTACTTCTTTCATGTATTCCCTGCTTGTCTTTATGTGAGCGCACGCAAGCATGTGCACAAAAGCTGCAGATAATATTCAAAGCCAGTTGCACCATACGTGAAGACAACTGCTCCAGTCATTAAATGGGAACCTGACAAAGGAAAATCCTTGTCTGCCATGCACCTTGCTTCTAGATTTTTAGATTTCAAAAGAAAAGGTGAAGTAGAGCAGAATTTTCCACTGGAGCTGTTCTACCTGCAGTGAGTCTTATATGAATGGCTTTGGTCGAAGTCTCATTGGCTTTGAGTTCTCTCTGTTTAAAGATCACCCAATCCACTATAGATAAAAGACATATTTAGGTCTTAAAAGCCCAAATGATGACTTTTATGTTACAGAAACAGAACATGTTCATTTATCAGAACATAGATTGGATGACTCACATGTTTCCAAATGACTTAAATTAGCCACTCAATGTATGCATCACACTCTAGGGTGCTGGTTATTTTTACCCTTTTGTGTTTTAAACCTTTGTAATTTAGGCATCTCATACCTGTTGTAAAATGAAGCTGTCTGCTGGAAGAGATTTTGAAAGAATCATTCATCTGGAGATAAATTAATGATTTAAAATCAGAGTTGCTTAATAAAAACTTTTAGCCAAAATTAGATTCTATGGAATTATCCAAAATCTTCTCAAACTGTATTGTATGGACATGTAGCCTTTATGCTTTAAAAGATAACATGGAATCAGATTTTACCATATTTGACTTTAGCCCTATTAGTATTAAAACCAAATGAAATGGACATAGTATGTAATACTATGTCATTTACTGATCTAGCAAATCACAAGCTAAGTCTCAGTCTTTTCTGTTATCTTCATTCTGAAATTGATTTATTAAAGTTGCTAACTCTGTATTGCTGTGCATGCTAACTGATTTAGTCTTTGTTCATACTTTCCTCATGAACATATTGTATAAACTCTGTACTGCTCTTTTGACCTCGGATCTAGGACCAAAGGGCTAACGGGGGCAAAGGAACATTTTATCCAAAAACAAAAAAAAATGAATAGCAACTTGGGTAAAGTGCAAAGTCCTTATTTTGAATTACTTACACAAGTTAGTAATAATATTTAAATCAGAATTAATAGACCAGTCTATACACCCAAGCAATAAATTTTACAGTGGTTTCACTTTCCTCTTAATAAATAGATGTAAATTTATAAATCTATTTAAAAAAAGAAATAGCAATATTTTTCATGCAATGAACCCTTTGCATTGAGTTTTGGAGAATAGAAAACAAACAGTATAGGTATGTAGCTTAACTTTTGAATGACACCTGAGAGGGAGGCTCTCCTCTTCATCATATAAAGATTTATTTAAGCTTTAATAGAATTTCTTGATCCATAGGGGTTTTTCTTTCTTGCTTCAGGGGTTTTTGGAGTGGAATTAGTGCCATGCATTTTCAAAACAGTTTTCATTCCCTCTTAGGAGTTTAGCTCTTGGGTTTAATTCACTGCTTTTCTTTTTGTGAAATATTCAGTCATGCATATGCAAATAAACAATTTAACCTTCAGTGCATCAACAGTAATCAAATAAGCTTTTATTTAATTTTTATAGTTTTTGAAAGGGAAAAGAATGTGTCAAGTGCCATGACAGTGAAATGATTGACACTGTATTTCTTCACTGTTAACATACTTTACACAAATATTTCTTAACACTCTAATGTTGAATAGGATTATACATAACTTTCTTGCTTTACAGAATTTGTTTTTTTTTTTTGTTTTTTTTTTTGCAATTTACCAGCAGTTGTTTTTTGTTTTGTTTTTTTCAGGTTGCACTAAATATGATTTGATGAAATATTTATATTTCAATTTTATTCTGGAATCAAATGTTAAACACCTTCCATGGCCTCTCCACAGCAACAGGAGCAGGACCCCACGAACCTCTACATATCTAACTTGCCCGTGTCGATGGATGAGCAGGAGCTGGAAAACATGCTAAAGCCCTTTGGCCATGTTATTTCCACCCGAATACTAAGGGATGCCAATGGTTTGAGCAGAGGAGTTGGCTTTGCCAGGTAAATGCACACTCAAAAATACATCAAAACTCTGACTCTTTTTTTATGTTCCATAGACCTAATAAATAAGGAGACTTCATTATTCAAAATGGCCATGAAGACAGCATTTTAAAAAGATTGTGTCCATTGATTAAGTTTTATGTGTATTAATTCAGGGACAAGTTATTATAATGTCATTCTAACAAAAGCTTGCTTGGAAAGTGAAAAAAAAATGGTCTTCATGAAACCATGTAGTTGTTTTAGTCTAACTTTATGAAAAAATAAAGCACAAAGTTTAGTGTTGGTTTTCTTAGATCAACCTCAAGCTGATATGTAAAATCCTTTTCACCAAACAGTTTTGTATTCAAGGTAAAGTAAAATGGATTTAATGTCTCTATTTGAACTACTAAACAACTTTGAGCTGTAATGAAAAAAGCTGTCTACCTGTCCACCTTTAACTCCTTTGTCTCATGTGTGTACATGTGTGTTCCTCTCACTTACTCCATAGAGCGTGCCAGTGATTAGAAAGCAGTCAAGTATATATTCTGGGTCACCGAATGTACAAAGAGAGACCCAAGACTCACATTCAGCTCCAAACCTCCCCTCCAAACACACATACAGTTTGTCCCCTCTGTCACCACATTTCAAACACACTAGCTTTTACTTGCCAGGCAGCCAATTAGTCATTGAGCTGTGATTGGGTGAGCAGAGCTGAATAGGGACAAACAAAGAGGACATGACACACAACAGATCAGACTGAATGGAGCTTTTAAACTAGGACAAAGGAGAGGAAACCCCATTTAACGTTGAAAGGACACACACACATACGCACACACACACACCTACAGATATTCTTTACAGGTAAAGACACCTCAGCACTAATCCTATAACTGGCAGGGGTTTACACATTTACTTAAATGTTGGATGCTTCTGCAAGCAGTCATATCCACACACAGTGAATTCACTTTTACAGAACCAGAAAATCTTTAGTGTTTACTATTTCAGATACCGTCTTTCCTTTTTTTGTTGCAGAATGGAGTCGACAGAGAAGTGTGATGTGGTGATTCAAAATTTCAATGGAAAATTTTTGAAAACCCCTCCAGGCATGACAGGTAGGTGTAAAATGGTGAATAAAACAAGCATGCACTTAAAATTGCATTAAATTATACCAGATACTCAACACATTTTGTACCTGTTATTCGCTGCTGTGTTTGTCAGAAAAAAATCAGTGCTGCATTAAAAATGCCTTTACTTGACTTAATCTATAAACCCTCATTTATTGAATTTATAGAGACTGTCTAAGCAACTGCTGCAGATCATACATCATCATTTTTGCTCTGTCTCTGCTTCCCACTCCTTAGGCATCCTTGACTTGATTTGATAGGAGGATTTGTGTGATTAATCCTTACACTGTTAAAAAGAAAAAGACACACTGAGATAAACCATTCCTTCAGCACATGTGCATACCCAAACTGACAGTGCTTAAAGCAAACAATCGGCTTCCTATTGTGCCAAAAGTAATTAAATAAGGACATCTGTTTTATTTTAACAAACACAATACTATGAAAGGATGCAATTGATAAGAAGGAAGCATAGCGGCAAAAAAAATGAAAGTGACAGAATGTAAAAGAAAGGTAATACACAGAAAACTAAAGAAACAGAGTAACTGGCTAAAGAAATAAAGGAAATGAAAAAAGGTTCCCCATGAGCAACGTTTGTTTTCTAAACAGGTTATTATTAATAAAACATCACTGTTTTGGAAATGCTGGTTCTACTTCATTTGATCAAAAATATCCAGGAAAATAAACTCTGCATATTGAACAAGTAAAACAAGACATACTGTTACCTTTTTGTTTAGGAGTGTTTCCATTAGCTTTGTCTAATGTACATTTTAAAGAATTGCATCCAAAACCCCTGATAGAAACAGGAAAAAAAAAATAAAATATAAATTTTTTTTTCTAATCATCTCTATCGTAGCAAACTTTTATGTTGGATGACTGATCAGCTGTTTCTGCTGTCACCGTCTTCCCAGGTGTTCCAATTATGCGCAAAAACATGGCTTAAAGCACCATCGGTAATACTATCTAAACTGTTAACAGAACAAAAACTTCCCTGATAGCGTTACACTTATTACAACATTCCTCCACTAATGATCCCTGGTCAGTGCTAGATTGTAGCCTCTACTTCCTGTTTATTAGAGCCATATAATATACGGTAAATGATATATGACAACATAACGCTTTGCATCTCTTGGTTGAGTTGCTTTGAACAATGAAAAAAACATCCACACATTATGAACTACTTCCTTCTAAAGATAAGATGTATGATGAAAGTGCAGGTCATGTCTTCAGTTGATGACCCACCTATTAATGATGTTTAGAGGTTGACTGAAAACTGAATGTGGGTCTGGTCATATTTTAGAAATCATAGACAATGTTTTGTCATTATCTCCTTTCTATCTCTTCTTTCTTTCATCTTTTCTCTTTTTTTTCTTTTTTCCTTTTTTCTTCTGTTTTTCTGCTCTATTTACATTTCAGTGTCCATATAAACTGTAAAAGTCCCTGCATAATTATAATAAAGCAATTTGTATGCATGAAACAACACTTGTGAAAGTAAAATCTGTTGGGCTCTTTTTGGCATCAAGACAATTATTCTTATTGCCACATTGCCAGACAGGACACTGTAAAAAAATAAATAAATAAAAAGAAAGAAATCATAGACAACCAAAACAGGTGGAGAATATTTGTTTTATTATTTTAACTTACCCGCTTGTTATTTGCTTGTCACCTTTACACATCTATTGTTGGTGCAGAATGAAAGGCCAGACAATGTCTTTGTTCCAGTGTCTGCCATGCTTCTCATTTAGACCTCCGTAGGACCACTACATAGTACAAATTTAGTGGAAAATCTGGTCACTTTCCCCTGCAAAGACAAGTCCTAATAACGATTTTCTAAGTTTCCTTTGCACATCTAATGTTGGATCCCTGAAAGTGCAGAATGGAACGCCAGTTGATGCATTTTTTCAAATACTGTCTAATTTAGATCTCCACAGGACCCCTATATGTGGTGTGTTCAGCTTCTAAAGTGTATTCAGGGGCACCAAAGCAAAGTATTATGATTTGGTCACGGACTTGGAAAAGTCTCACCTATAGCTGTCCTTCCTGACACAACTAGGATACGAAATGAAACTAATAAAATAGAAAAAAATATCAAGAAATAAAACTAATTTCACTCCAGTTATTCATTAATAGTTCTTTCTCACCTGTAGTCCTGAAATTAGAAAATCCCTGAGCCCACAGAAGAAAAATCTACTAATACTTTTCAGTAAAAAGTCTAGCAATCGCTGATTTGACTAAATGATTTATATTACAGTCTTATTTTAATAATATTTTAATATCTAACTGAAGAATGAATGCTGCCATTGACTGAAAAAAGCTTATTGATGCATTCATTTCTGACTTCTTAAGGTATTAAACTAAAATATAGCTAATTTTGCTTTTTGCTTCATGTTCATACTAAATGCTATCTGGGTTTTTTACATTCAGATCCATGAAATGTTGATTTTATTTGTCTCAGATATATAAAGTTTACTGAAAAAAAGACTGACAGTTGATTGATTTTCAACAAAAAAAAAGGATGTGGTGGAAACAGCTTGAGCTCTCAGAATGTGTAAATGCTTTTACTGAGCTGAGCCAGTTTCAGCACTCTAATCCAGAGTGTAAATCAAGTAATCACAAGTTATGCAGCTGGTTGGTTGCTGAATTTTCTTCTGTTTGCCATTCATGGCTCCATACTGGGAATGTGAATGTCAGTGGGAAACCATTCTGATCCATACATGTGCTGCACAGTTTTTTTTTTCAAATAACCTGATGTCAAAATGTGATGTTAAAAAGAAATCAGAAACGACATTTAAACACAAGAATGTCAGCTTTGAAAATATATTCATTAACATGTATTGCATATTCATTCCTCAGATTTCCTGGACTTTAAAAGGCACCACCCTGATTTCTTATTCATGACAAAAAAAAAATCCTGATTCTGCTCTAAGATAAAAGATGTTGATTTGTTGTTACTCTGTGCAGTTGAAGCAAAAAGGATTTTAATTATTAATCTAACTTTTTGTACATCTTTTTTGCAATTTTCTGTCTAATTTATCTGCCTTCTTCAATTTTTTCCCCCTAGGTCTGTGGGTATACGTCATGCAATAAAATAGACTAATGTATACACTTAAGATAAAAAATATGGATACAAAATATAAAAAGTAAAATAGCATCTTACAAGGAGACAACTAGTTTATCTGGTGACCAGTCGGCAAAATGCGTGCTTGGTGCTGCTGAATGAGACATTTTAATGCACAACAAAATGATTCTGCTTGATCTGTATATTACCTGGCTAATGGGGCACGGGAGAAGCAGCCTGTCAGCGACCGTTCCTGCTATCTGAAAACTGCTATGATGCTGCGCATCTGGCATGCCCTGCGGGCGACCGAGCGAGTTCACGTGACAAAGGAAGAGAGAGAGGCTGGTCGGTGGTGTGCGCAAGTAGGTCGGTCATTTCGGGGCATTGTTTCAGTCGTTTTTAATGGCTCAGGTTTTCAAAAGATCATTTCAAAACCGACCTCAGTAAAATCTTAATATTATTAATAATAATAAAAAAAAAAAAAAAAAAAAAACGAGTTTCAAAAGGGCATTTTCTTTGATAGAGGGCAAACTTCCTAGTGCTTTAGCACCACCTAGTGTCTATGTGTGCACGCCCCTGCACCCACCTATATATCCATCCACCCACCTATATATCCATCCACCCACCATCCATCCATCCATCCATCCATCCATCCATCCATCCATCCATCCATTCATCCAACCACCAATCCACCCACCATCCATCCACCCACCTATACATCCATCCATCCATCCATCCATCCATCCATCCATCCATCCATCCATCCATCCATCCATCCATCCATCCATCCATCCACCCACCATCCATCCACCCACCTATATATCCATCCATCCATCCATCCATCCATCCATCCATCCATCCATCCATCCAACCACCCATCCATCCAACCACCCATCCATCCATCATTCTTGGACAGTTTCTTCCACTCTATGTCTAAAGCTGTTGTAAAGTCGGAAATTACATGAATGTGCATTATTACAAGTCTTTCCTCCAACACAGAGATTGGACCTAATTATCACTGCTCTCAACATTATAATAATTTTGTACTTCCTCACTTTTTTTTTGCAGTTTATTTTGTTTCTGTTGTTATTGTTAATCTTAATAACCTGTAATCCTGTTTTTCTTGTTTTGTAAATGTAGCCTCACTGTTCATTCTCTTATTCTAATCATGTGTTTTTACATCCTTATATACGGATCTATTCTATCTTATTCTATTCTATGTTTAAACCTTATCTTTTTCCCTGACCGACTAACCATCATATTGTGTGCTTAGAGCTTTGAAGACGATCAACTGCTTTTTCTTTACTTCACCTCACTAATTCCCCATTTAGCTGCTTTGTGGATAAAATCAATTTTTTTCATTAATACTTCGTTGAGGTATTTGCTAGTAGTTTTGCTATTTATTTAGAAATATCCTCCTCTAGATGTTGGATCTAACTTTCTGTGTGTTACTTATTTCTCTACAAAAGAAAGACACTGTGGTTTTTACAGGCTCACTGCTTGCTGAGTGGGTTTGGCAAACTTAAATTCAATATATATGTTGGATTAAAAGTTAATAGTTTCACAAGATAGGATTAAACTCTTTTTTTGTGGTAGTGTTTACTGATTTGGTGAAACCTTGGAATTAGTTATAATTGTTCATTAATAACAAATGCTCTGTTACCTTACTTTAATACACTGCTTTTTCAACTTTTTATTTTTTATTTTATGAATAAAAATGAGTTTTTATAATTAAATCAAAAATAAATATAGAGGTAGTGTTTTTTTTTTTCTTGAGAAAATAAGAAGTAAGCAACATCCATTGAACTGCAATGAAAAACATCAATATCTACAAAAAGCTCCAACTTTGCACTATTTGTGGCTTAACCTGTGTTGTGCTCCATACTTCAACTGTAAAGTACCTCAACCTTAAAACCATCATCAACCTAACTGT